TGTGCTGTGCATACTTCAGCGTATTAGTAGTTTTTTAACGCTCGATAATGAAATTTTCCGACTATAGAATACACATTTCCTAGTTGTTTTAGATATTAGAATTTCTAATAGGAAAATTTTCTAGTTGAAAGTCATGTGTATTTTATGATGCAATACTTGTAACAATATTTTTTTTGTAACTTAATACGATATAACAGTTTGTAATATAGTGTCGATACTTTAGAAATTTCCTTTATAGGTTAGGTTTAGGTTAGACGCGGGAGAATGAGCTGTGCATACTTCAGCGTGTTAGTAATTTTTTAACGTTCGATAATGAAATTTTCCGACTATAGAATACATTTCCTAGTTGTTTTAGATATTAGAATTTCTAATAGGAAAATTTTCTAATTGAAAGTTAGACGTGTATTTTATGATGCAATACTTGTAACAATATTTTTTTGTAACATAATACGACATAACAGTTTGTAACATAGTGTCGATACTTTAGAAATTTCCTTTATAGGTTAGGTAATATTATTTAGTAGCAACACTAAATACTAAGTATTATCACTACATGTGAAGTATCATTCAACTTTCTCAATTTTGAAGTAAGACATGTCCAAAGGCTTTCGAGTCTCGAGGATGAATATTTTTTGAACTTTAAATAAAAGAATTAAGATGTAGAATCAATATTCAAACATGCAACATTTTATCTTTCAAAAAGAAATTAGATTAAAGATTAGAATAATTACAAATCTATGTTAGATACTCTATTTATTTGTTATATTACTTTTCTATGAAGATCAGTGCTTGCAATGTTAATTTAATTCTCGCGATTCGCGAGAACCTGACCAAAAATGAGCCTAAAATAAATTTTGGATATTTGCTGGACATTGATATTCACTATTTGGCGGATCATTTGCAGAATACTGACTGATGATTTGTTGAATATTGAACAGAGATATGCCTGGTCAAGGCAATTTAATTTTCAAGGCCTTTCACGCTCTTTCGAAAAAAGTAAATGCCGTTCTTAGATCACTTATCACGGTCGTCGTTTGAAGTTTAATTTTGTAAAAATTGTATCCCAAATTATTGTTCTTGTTGAACAGAAGAACGCGCCATATCTCTTTTCTACAACAATTTTGTAAAAATCGTATCGTATATTATGTAATGATTGTTATTCAACTGCGTTTTCTTTATAGAAATTTAATTGCATCCTCGTTCGATCACTTATCATGGTCGTCGTTTGAAGTTTAATTTCGTGAAAATTGTATCCCTGTATTCGAAAAAAATTGTAATTGTATAAATTATTATTCTCGTTGAACGAGAACGCGTCATATCTCTTTTCTACAACAATTTTGTAAAAATCGTATCGTATATTATATAATGATTGTTATTCAACTGGGTTTTCTTTATAGAAATTTAATTGCATGCTCGTTCGACAAGCGTGTTTAAATTGTTATACTTTATAGTATAAGTAGCAAAGCTGGATAACATAAATGTATCTGTTACTCGAGCAACGCAAATCGAACGATCTCGCCGGGAAGAAATTCAAGTGAATCGAGCCTAAAGCTATATAAAATTATCGCGCTCGGTCATTGTTCAGGGTCAGTCGCTCGGACGCAGAAAATGCAAATGACGAAAATGCTGTCGAGCGGAACAACAGTCACCCAATTCTCACAATTAACTGTTCCTCTGGCGTATACGATTTACGGGCAGGGAACGAGGAAACGCGGGAAAACCGGTGTTTTTCACCGGTGGGGAAATATCTCTGGCTCGAATCGATTAATTGCATCGACCTCGGAGGTTTGTTACGCGTGCTGCTTGCCACTCGACAGTGTGTTCCATGGGAATGTTTTCTCTCGTGCAGGTATAATTGCTGATCTGACGACCGACGACTTTTTTCTTTTTCTTCAGGTTGCAGTGTGTAACCTCTGATTAATTTATTATTTTATTATTTTATTAAGAATGAACTGAGAAGTTTCTAAAAATCATCCACTCACTGTTGTTAACCGATGAGCTTTCTTTTTTTTTTTTTTAATAATATTCTAGCGATTTTAATATAATTTCGATTAACTTTAATTTAATAACCAAAATGTTTCAGATTGAGTCGAGGAATTTTGAAATCGAGAAAACTGTAGTTATCAGTTATGTGACACCGAATAAAATGAATATTCAACATTGTAATGTTAACGAGGTTGGGTTATCCCCATAATTTAACTGTAAATACGATTATCACTTTAATGTGTTTTCCAAAATTCGTATAAATCTCTGATTAATTTTGCAATGTAAATTGCTTTGCGAAATTAGAGAAAAATGTTATTTTTGATATCGACATTAACATTCATTAATATTCATTAAAAAAATTGTTTCTACAAATTAATATTCACTGCTGTAAATTAAAAAATTCTCGTGAAGTTTACCTTTTCGCCAACGCGAACAGGTCGGGCGCTGAACGTGATGCCCCTGCAGAAGCTTTCGTATCTTCTGGCGATGGTTCCGCCATTGCAGAGTCTGATATTCTCACCGTGAACATGATGGAACATCAACGGTGGCAGGTTGTTCGTGCCAGCACTGGATGATCTTGGTGCTGCAACAACAAACGAAATGGCACACGTTAGTCTAACAATCGAAGACATTTTTATGAATCCTACCTATTCATTACATTTAACAAACTTGAACGATAAAAGAATCTTCTAATCACTCGAGACATCCATATTTTATACATTCTTCGAGTCAAGTATTCTAAGTATTCTGGATTTAATATTGTGACAACTCCAAGCTAGGTTTTTGAAGAACACTGAACCTAAACAGAATTCCATTGAAAGAATTCAACAGGTATCATCAGAACATGTCATTATACAACTATAGCTGAAAATAAAAGGGATAAAATATTTGTGGGAAAAGTGCCGAGAGCCTTCCTTTAGAAACCGAAAGGGTTGTCTGTTGAAATTGAAGAACCGGTCCACGAGTTCATCTACGAAGTGGGAATTTAAATTCAATTACACAATCAGCGATGATACACTGTAATACTTTCATGAATGTAAGATATTTGAAATATATTTACCGTACGTTGTAATATCTAGTGAGTGAAACAAATCTAAACTAAACTAAATTTTCGACGATCATCTTCAAAGACAAAAACAAACGTAAATTTCCATAAAAACTCGTAGTGTAATCATCATAAATATAGTATGAGTGTTCTCGTTAGAGTATTCTTGTAATACCGATATTGTTGCAATCAGTAATGAAGTAATTGATTCACACTCACGACACATTACAATAACAAAAAAGTACATGTTCAAGAATAAATTTGATAAATTTAAGCACTCAAAGGGTTCATTGTTTCTATCAAAAAAAAAAAAAAAAAAAAAAAAAACCCAAAGAATGCCAATTTTTTTCTATTCACGTGTAAATATCAATTATCGCGAATGAAAATTCGTCGGAGAAAGATGAGGAAACAGAAAAGATTGTATAATGGACAGAGAGAGAGAGAGAGAGAGAGAGAGAGAGCACAGATGGAATTCGATCGAGATCGACTGAAATGCAAAACCACCTCTCGTGGCAGCTCGAGCGTTTCCACTTCGGTATTTCATAACTCCGACTCGGCGATCCGGAATGCGAGAGTTCTGACAGGATATTCCCAGGCTGTGTCCAGGATATTCCCAGCCGGCGAGTGGAAACGCCGCCATCCCCGAAATCCAGGATCGATCTCCAGACTTTGTTCACGCAATAAATTTTCAGTAAATTTACTTTTTCTTTCTTTCTTTCTTTTCTCTTTATTTTTACCACCACGAATTTACGAACTTTTCAAACACAATGCTGGCAAATATCCTTCCTTTTCTAGGTTAGGTTTAAGTTAGGTTTAAGGTTAGGTTCTAGGTTAAGAAGTTGTGTTTCTCCCTTCTCCATTCCGCGATAATTTGATTAAATTCTTTGCAAATTATTGGAAATTAATTTAATACTTGATATTGCAATCTTTTCTCTATTGCGCTTCTTCCAAAGTTCACAACGTGTTCAGTGAAGTTAACGCGTTGATTCGAGTTTCTTCTTTCTAGACACTTTTGATACTTCAGTTATGACGATTCGACAGTGATAATGTAACAAGCTGGAAGCTCGAAAAGCGAAGTGATAAGGCTCGATCACTGAAGTTCTGCGTGCAACGTACAAGATAGCGGTTTATCAACGTATTTCGTTCGTGGTGCAACCAATTAAAAGTTGATAATTACGCTGCGATGCAACTTAATTGGAACATATCTTAATTTCAGTTCAATTAATATGATCAGACTACTGTGTGTCACGTTTTTATGTTGCTATGCGATATACTTCGATGTAAATAAACAAAGATCTAAGTAATTTTCCAAGTAATTCGAGTTAAAAGAAAAGAAAGTTTTAGTACATCCACTGCTAAATCAAATTAGAAACATTGAGAGGGATGAGAAAAAATAAATAAATAAATAAATCACTCCGTTTCTCTTCACTAAGAAACATCGCAAATTTTTCTTACAAGCGGCCAATTAACAAATAGTCAGTCAATCACGATTTTAATAAATCAAAGTAAAGTATTTACTTTAGAAGATTTTAACGAATCAATTGAAGTACTTTAAAAAAAAAAAAGAAAAACAACGAACCATCAAAGGATCACAATTTTAACAAACTAACTGAAGCGTATAAAAGATGAATCAGCAACGGATCACAGTCTCAACAAACCAACTGAAATACGTAAAACCAGCAAAAAGTTTTAACGAACCACCTAAGATACAAAAAAAAAAAAAAAAGAAAAAGAACGATCAACCGGCAAAGGATCGAGGATTTCAATTAAAACCAATTAAAATACAAAAAAAAAAAAAAAAAAAAAATAATAAAAATGGGGGAGGAAAAAAAGATCGAAAATCACAGGACTAACGTGGACCACAACCGTCACGAACGACAGCCCAGTTCCGACTGACTATCGATATGCGCAGGGAGGCGGTGTGTGTATCGCAGCCGGCATCGTACGTGCGCCACGCACCGGAAACCACACGCTCCACTCGAGCGGAAGCGGCCGCGGTGTAAGGAATATCGGCCGATACGCTTTCTCCGGGAGCGGATGCGCGCCGAAAAGCGCCGTTAACAATCGCTGGATTGCACACCAGGAAGCCACTCCTCGACTCTTGCGGGCTTCCGCGCCATAGTCAATCGACTATTTGCTCGCGTGCGAATTTCCTCAGCTAGGAAAATTACACCTAGTTTGCCGATCTTCTTAGAAAATTGGGAGAAATACGCGTTCCTCACATACGCGAATTTTTACACAGCTCTCTGCTTTTGTTCCGTGTTGTGCCATTTTGAGATTTCTCTGTTTGAGATTGAGATTGTTCTTGAATCGGTCGATTTTTTTGGGGTAATAAGCCAGTGTTTTTATTGTACCTTGTGTATAAATTGCAATTACAAGATTCATTTTTATTTTTATTGATGAATTTATAAAACACTGGTGGACATTTTGAAATTCGCAGGCACACTCAGAGATTAATATCAATGTTATTATATTGCTACGTAGCTATTCATATCCACGGAAAATAAACCATATCCATAGGAAAATAATTTTCAGAGTGATTCGAAATTTCTGTGATGTTTAAAGGAAATGAAGCAAATTCGTAATTTTTGGTTCGTGCGAATGACGATCGCAAAATCTTGATCTCGATCGAAGGTTTTAATGTCTGAAATGCAGGAAAATTTCAAATTTTCACACGAACCACTTCTTCGAAATAATGCAAGAAAAAAAAAAGAAATTCATTTTATGCTGTCCATTACTCATTCTACGCGATTCAATCAGAATCAGAGGGGAAAAAATGCAACGTTAGAACAGCAAGAAACTGCGCGGCGGCGCAGTTAACTCGAGCCACGGTTAATCCGCTAATGAACCGAAACCGCGGTTCGCGTTTCCCGATCGTTCCACTCGGTCACGATCCACGGATCATAAAATAACACGCGGACGGACGCCGCGTGTTTCTCACGGTTGGAGCGACGCGCGTATTATGGACCAGCCGGTCGATTGTCGATTTCTAATTTCGTTCGTCACCCCAGCGTTTTCGTTTCTTTCCTTCAGTGTCTTGAGACTCGCGCCATTTTTCCACGAGTCAAAGGCAGGCCGCACGATGGCCAAAAGGAAGGCCACCGAT